ACAATAATCCTGGTTTTTCAGATGAGAAAATGCAATAAAATTAAATATCTTGGTGTCTTAGTTCAAGCTGCCATAACAAATCACCATGCACTGGGGGGCTTAAACAACAAAAATTTATTTCTCACAATCTGAAGGCTGAAAAGTCTGAGATCTGAATGCCAACATGGGGGAACTCTGCTGAGAGCCCTGTCCCTGGTTTGCAGATGGCTGTCTCCTTCCTGTGTCCTCACAGGGCACAGAGCAGAGACAGAGGAAGCAAGCTCTCTTTTGTTTCTTTTTAGAATGCCACTGATTCCATCCTGAGGGCTCCAACTTTACAATCTAATTACTTCCCAAAGGCCTCATCCCCAAATATATTGGCCATTAGAGTTTCAACATACGAATGTTGAAGGGACACAAGCGATCAGTCTATACCACTTGCCAAAAGTATAGAGCTGAGGTAAGAATATTTTATTTACAAATTCCTCAACTCAACTGAATTAAATGTAGATTTATTATCATAAACTATATTGCCTGGCTATTTCGATATCGTAAGCAATTGCTATGAAGATAGAACAAGGAGTGTTGCCTTTGAGCTAGTGATTCTCTTAAGGTTGTCTTCATTCTCCAAAGAACTGCAAAACAATGTGCATTCTTAACTGGAGCATTGGTTATTTCCTGTGGAAAAATAATTGAAGTGTGTAATATTTAGAGAAATGGCATGTTCATTCTTTTTTAAATATGTTTTTATTGATTTGAGAGAGAGAGAGAGTGAGAGAGAGAGAGAGAACAGCTATGTGAGAAAGAAACATTGATCTGCTGCCTCCTTCATGCCCCCCACTGGGGGTGGAGTTCACAACCCAGGCATGTGCCCTGGCAGGAGACCTTTTGGTGCAAGGGATGATACTCAACCAACTGAGCCACACAGGCCAGGGTGACATGTTCATTTAACTTTCTTCTATGTGTTATAGTGCTTTTTTATTTTTTTTTATTTTTGATATTTTGTTCAGATAGAGTGGGAGGGAGAGAGAGAGAGAAACATCGACGTGAAAGGGACACATCGAGTAGCCGCCACCCGCACAACCCAACCAGGACTGGGGACAAACTGCAACCGAGGTACGTGCCCTTAGTGGGAACCAAACCCGGGTCTCTCGGGACCACCGGCTGTCACTCTAACCGCTGAGCCAAACCAGCCAGGGCTGTTATAGTGCTTTTTATCTGCTCATTTTTTAAATTTCAAACCCATGCCAGGCTTCTCAACAAAGCATTTTGGTTTATAATTTTTGCCTATGGGACACATTTTATGACCATGGGAACCTTCTGACTTCCCTTTAGAAAACAGTGCGATTCTTCTCGAACAGACATTTCTATTGGTGGCCTGTACAGGATTTGATTTTTTCCTGCATTTTTCCCGAGTCGCTCCATATCCAGCTACCAGTGTCCCTGTTTTTCATTCCATGGGTTGTGAACTGTAGCCCCTCTCAAACATCTCCTTTTTCCAGTATTTATGCTATGACTTTGCTTTGAGAAAGGGCTTGGGTCTTTAGATCTGGGTCGGTGAGGGTGGGGACTCTGCAGAGTATGTGATACTCACGTGTTCAGTCTTTTCCAACCAATGGATGAAATGTTGAGAAGGAAATGCCCCACCCCCCCCATAAAGAAGGAAAAGGTACAGAAAAGTCTTATGTAAATTGGAAATGTTGTTTTGAGTCTTTGTACAACTTTTTACTGTATCCTATCCTTTCTCTATTGGCATGTTTCCATTTTCTTCCTGGCCTGCCCCGTCCTTCTTGGAATTCCTAGGGCAATGGTTCTCCAATTTTAGCCTGCATCAGACTACTGGAGGGCTTGTTACCGTGCAGAACACAGAGCCTCTCCTCCAACAGTTTCCAGTCCAGGAGATCTGGGGTGGGGTTCAAGGGTGCACATTTCTAACAAATTCCAGGTGAAGCTGCTGCTGCTGGTCCAGGGCCACTCTTTGAGGACCACTGGTATAGGGATTGCACTTTACTCTCTTAATATGTTCATTTGTTTGTTCATTCATTCATTAATATTTTTTGAGACATTACAGAGCCTCAGACACTGCATTCCCCCCACAGAACCCAGCTTTAGTGACTGGCATTTAGTGGGTCTTTCATAAATGTTAAGTGGCTCTGCAACCTACATTTTCCCCAAGTCTCACCAGCCTATGGGTGTCAAGCACTTTTAGCGGGAATGACTCAGATTGTGCTGACTCTTGCATAAAAGCAAGACCTCCAGCACCTCTCAAAATCCCTCAGTTGTGTTACAGGAATGCCAGGGCTTGTCATTTACAGGCTATAACCCAGTCATTTCTGGTTACACCACACTAGCTGTCTATGGATGTTTTCTATAGTGTGCAGCTACTTAAAGGTAACTCTCTGCTGAGCCCGCTGCTGCTGTGACAGCTTCCATGGGAACCATGAGGCCCATGCCAGGTGCTGCCCACCAGTGCTTCTAAAGTTGCCAACACCTGGAAGTGGTGGTGAGCATGGGATGCTCCCTGACCCTGCATCACGTTTCCTTGTCTGGAAACCAAAGTGTGGTGCTGGTGCCTCCATATCTCACAGAATAATATATGCACATATTTCCATCTGTGTTTGCCTATAGTTCTTTCCTGGGGTTTGACACTATAGGGCTGGGGAGGTGGGAATGGGTGGATGGGCAAGGTATGTGATATTAACAGTCTGAGTTTTCTAATCCAGGTTCTCTGTCAATTCATAAAACATGCATGTGTAGTTTCTGTACCTCAACAACTCATCAGACATGTCACACATGTCTGGATCACGGTGGGGGACACAACGGAATCTCACAACTACTAGATATCAATGAAATAAGGACCCCACGTTTCTCTTCACCTTCTCCTGCACTTTGAAGGTGTTTATTTATAACCCCAAAGCATTTCTAATGTGCCAGATTTAATCTAGGGTAGCCAGGGGCCTTCCTTCCTTTAAGTGTACTCTGCAGTTTATTTCTTTTACACAAACTGTGCCTTAGGTGAGGAGAGACGAGATAATTTGTAGCTATGCACTAGTTTCCTGCAAGGAGCCTGAGAATCAAGACAGCTTTATCCAATCTTTACTCCTTTCCACAGGCTGAAAACCACCGAAGCTTGGGTTATTTTATCCTTCGCCAAGAATGACTTGGGCCAGGTGTCTCTTCTGGCTCTGTGAGTGTGGTCAGGGAGCGGGGGTGGGAGGCAGAGCATTGAGCCCTTCGGCATCCACAGCTGAAATAGAGAGGTTTAGTTGTCTAGCTTGTTCGGGGGCTTTTAGGTTAAAAACCCACTGCCTGATTATCATTCCCTCACCCTATCTCATTTAATAATCATGAGAAACTGATGGGGTAAGTGGTATTCTTCTTCTTGTCACAGAGATAGAAATTGAGGATTAGAAAGGTCAGATTACTTGCCACAAGGGACCAGAGCTAGGCAGTGAAGGAGGACACCGTCAAACCAAGGCTTCCTCCCTCTGCAGCGCCTTCTCGAAACATTATAGCCTTTAGACTCCACGAATTCCTCCCTCGTGGCTATAAGGAGAGGCAATGTATTGCTTCTCATAAAGAGATAATTTTGGGGGAGGGAGGAGGGGTCAGTCTACCAAATTTACTAAGTCATTCAATTCTTATCTACTTAATATTTTTCCACTAAAAAAGTTGCTTTAAAAACAGCTAGGAGAGGCCTCTGCTTATAACCTGGCTTCTGCCATATACTCACTTTTAATTTTTAAAGTCAGGTCAATTTATTCTTCTCAATAAGTGAAAACAATAAGATTGTTATAATGCATGGTTTCCTTTCAAAAAGTTAACATTTACTATCTAGACAAAAAGTCAGTGTTCGTGAGAGTGCGCTTTCAGAGTTTGGGAATCAGTAGTTTTCAAGGGAAAACCAAAGAAAATCGCCTTGATGCTTGAGTTCTTAGGAAGTTCATCCCAAATCAGCAGGTACTTCCGGGCCTCCGTCAACACCGGACTTGCTCGCGCCTTCTCTCTCCTCCAGGCGGCAGAACGTCACAGGAGCAGCGAGGTCTGCGTCTGAGAGTGCTGGAGTCACAGTTCTATGACCGTTTTTGGCACTTTATCACTAGAAAGTTTATTCTCTCCTTTTTTATATATTTCAACTCCTCCATCTCTTTTGCTTTGAAAGTGTATTTTTGGGACTGTATACCACACTCTGGTCTCTGACCCACACCCCGGCATCACCAACTCCTCTTCCAGGGGGGAAACAATCCTGTCCCCTGCCTGCCTTCTGATTCTATTTGCCATGGAAGCAAGAAGAATAAGCCTAAGTGAGGCCCGGAGGTCAGCAACCCCTGCCTTTGTGCCGGGACAGGCAAACTACCTAAGCCAATTACTAACCGGTTTTTAAAAAAACCTCCAATCAGAGAGAATCCTCCACTGCTGTTTGTGAACTGTGGCTCCACGCAACCACACACTTCAAACGTCTTTCCCTATCTATGTGTGTACCCTTATCTCGCTGTTCTATTTTTTCTTCATTTGCGTTAACCCTTTCTCACCTTTTTCTGAACCTTCAGGACTTCTCTGAAGTGGTGGGAGGCAAAGGTTCCTCTGCAATCGGCCAAGGTAGCAAGGTGAGTAGTAGTCCCCGGGGACCCTGGGGCTTTAATCCCCAGCTAAGAGGGACAGACAGCGGGTGGGGTGATAACATTCCTCGTTTTAGAAGATATTTATTCTGCTGCTAAGCAAACACTCTCAGTTCTTTTTAACTGCCTGAGACGGACACCTCTGAGTCTGTTTCCAAACAGAACACTAGAGGGCTCCCAGGGGTTAAAAATAAGGAGGACATTATTTGAATGAAAACTGCTTCTGTACGGCATTTGCTTTTTCAGAATTTAAAATTAAAATTTATTTTCTAAACTATATTAATTTTTTTTACCTGTCTTAAAATTGGGTTATAAGCAGCCAGTTTACAAGCAACTTTTTTTTTTGCTTTACAATCAGTAGTTTTCAAGGGAGCTTTCAAAGCCGAGCTGAAATATTTGCAATGTGGAACACTCTTGACCATGAAATATGTTCTACTTACATGCCTCAGCCTTTAAAAGTTCTTTGCATTAGAGGCAGGGATTACATTGTTCCTGGAGCCAAGCACGGGGCCAGCTGTGTGAGTAAGGTTGCTTATAGTTTCTCCTTTTTAATCATGTGGAAAAATAGAGCTGGAGATCCTTTTATTTTCTTTCAGCTGACTTTGGTGGGAAAAAGAAAACTCAAAAGCAAGTCCGATTTGTATGTTGTGTTTCTCTGTTTGTGTGTGTGACAATAACTGTAACTGCTTTCAAGATATATGGGCATTTATGACTTTCTATTATGATAACTATTAACATAAGATAATGGAACATTTATGAATAAAAATTGTACTGTTAGAATAAGAGAATATATTTTTTAATTTGAATGTTTGTTTTTAAGTTAACTAATGAGTTAGTGCAACATTTAAAAGATAAATATGGAATAGGTATAGATTTTTAAAACCTATTATTTATTTTTAATTATTTCTGAATTTCAAAAACAAAAAGCCTGGATTTGTCTAACTTTAATGTTTTTCCTTCAGAGTAAAATTAAATAACTCTAGCTACAAGTTACAAAATATTCTTGGATTTGTGTGGCTTGTTCTCACTAGTTTGAACTGAATATCAAACCTATACATCTATCTTGTTTTGTTTTTTAAGCTTCATTAAAAAATATTTAGTGGTGATATTAGTGAAAGGAAACAGTTACTTTTTCTTCACTCTTGTGGAGGAACTAGTATTAGATTGTGACTCAGTTAACTCCGTTCCCATTCATTCCCAGAAACAAGCCACGCTTCTCCTTAGGGAGACCGATGGGACTTTAAAAGTTTTGTTGTGGCGAGTGTCACGAACATTCCCAACTCCATCACCAATCCCTTACTTCCATCTCTACTCACTGGAGACCACACAGACGCCCAAGCAGAGGCAACAGCTGAATTCAGGAAACCATGCATCATGTCATCAGGAGACAACAGACTTTAAACTCTGTTCAACATGTGGATGCGGCCGAGAAATGACCTGTCCAGACAAGCCAGGGCAGCTCATAAACTGGTTCATCTGCTCCCTGTGCGTCCCGAGGGTGCGTAAACTCTGGAGCAGCCGGCGTCCAAGGACTCGGAGGAACCTCCTGCTGGGCACTGCCTGTGCCATCTACCTGGGCTTCCTGGTGAGCCAGGTGGGGCGCGCATCGCTCCAGCACAAACCCACAGCTGAACGGGGGCCTCGTCAGAGCCGAGACACCGCGGAGGCACCCTTCCCTGAGATACCCTTGGATGGTACCCTGGCCCCTCCCGAGTCCCAGGACAATGGAACCACCCTATTGCCCAATGTGGTGTACATTACCCTACGCTCCAAGAGAAGCAAGCCCGCCAATATCCGTGGCACAGTGAGACCAAAGCGCAGGAAGAAGTATGCATTGGCCTCTCTGGTCCCGGGACAGGAGGCTTTGGTTGGACCATCCCTTCAGCCGCAGGAAGCCGCAAGGGCAGCTGATGTTGAAGTGCCTGGGTACATCCAAAGAGGAAATCTGGCCAAGGTTGGGGAAAGACCCTGGAGTTTGATACGTGGTCCGGGAGTGCGAGTTGGGGGCTCAGATACCCAGCTGCCCAAAGCCAGGGAGAGTAACATCAGGATCTACAGCGAGAGCTCCCCCTCGTGGCTGAGCAAAGAAGACATCCGCACAATGCGCCTGTTGGCCGATGGTGTAGTGGCGGGCTTCCAGCCAGTGTCCTCCAAGAGCCAAGCGCACTTGATGGTGCTGGAGGGGAGCACCTCTGGCTCTATGCCTGGCTGTGGCCCTAACCCCTGCGGGCTGGTCAAGCAGCCTTTGGACATGAGCGAGGTGTTTGCCTTCCACCTGGACAGGATCCTGGGGCTCAACAGGACCCTGCCTTCTGTGAGCAGGAAATCAGAGTTCATCCAAGGTAACAGCTTCACATGCTTCATTATTTGCAGCTGCTGGGGATTGGGGTTGATTTTCTCTTCTCTTCCCTCACTCTCTTTTTCTAAATGATTTTTCTCCACCCACATTTCACATTTGGACATAAGCAGCAGCAGCAGTGTGTCTTTCCATATGCCTGGCATTCTTTATTTTCCCCATTTGGGAGTATATGAGAGTTCCAGGGAAATGCTGTACTCAACAGGCAAGAGTAAGCCTACACTGTATAAACTTTGCTCCCCATGTCCTTTACTGCACGTCCCAGTGGCTTATTAAATCTAATTAAAGCCAGTGGCAATTTGCAGGATGAGGAGAGGAAACCAGGGTGGAGGCAAAGATCTTGATGACAGTCAGGTATATTATTAGATAGGTTACTATAGAAGTAAGTGAAATTTTGTTAGTTTGTTTTTTAAAAGTAAGGGGGAAGTGGGTTATCTTTCTTTAGCAGGTGGGAGTCTTTTTAAGAAGCCCAGAGCCGGACCATGTTAGATTTAATCCCTTGATTTTTCATGATAAATTTAACCCCTTTATTTAACAAAGAAAATGGGACAAAAATAGGTGATTTGCTCAGTAGACATGCTAACTAGCCATGACTAGTTCATGACTATGGTTGATCGAGCCTGATTTCCAAGAATCTTTCAGGTGACAAACATTTTGGCAAATTCTGAATGTATAGCCAGTCATTTCCATGGCAGGCAGCGGGGCTGGCCTGTGGCCTGTGCTCTTGCTGTTTAAAGGATATTCTCTGACTCTCGAGGCTCTTCCAAGGTCTGAAGACAAAGTAGGGTGGGTCAGCGGCTTGTGTTGGAAAGCAGAGAATCCCCAAAGTTGCCACTGTGAATCCAGGCTGGCCCAAGTGGCCAAAAAGGATTCCAGAGAGATGATTATAAACTCAGAGGATATTCCCTTATTCCTCATCACCGTGACATTTAGTATTTTAGCGAGATTCCCAGGGAGTCCGGACTGGAATGGATTAAAACCCTTGGGAGAGGCTGAGAACTGGACTGGATTTCCAGTGGAGTCGGGGTGGTAATTCCGTTATAGAACTGGTACTTCTTGAAGTGATTTACTCAGAAAGATTTGGCATTCCTTACGCATCCTGGTTCATGTCTAAGTACTTCAGATTCATAGGTATGTTTCCATGTCTCAGGTTCACAAAGTAGTCCATCACGATTATGCCAATGTGAGATAGCTTCTCAAACTTTTCATCAAATGTTAGTAAAAGCTAATTTTTATTGGGTGTTCACTGTTTGCTAAGCACTGTCCTAACTGACTCACATGGTTCATACATTCACTGACTTTGTCGTTCTCACAACAGTGCTATGAGATGGGCACTATTATTATTTCCATTTAGTCGATGAGAAACTAGAGGCAAAGTAATTGTCTCCCACAGCTAATGTCAACGGCTAAGCTAAGTTTTGAGTGTAGGCTCAGCAAACTTTAGAACATAAACTCTAACCGCCGTGCTTAGGTGACTGTATGCTTTCTCGTTCAGTGTGGAACACCCTGGGGTCAGAGAAGATTTGGGTGGGCACTGAGACAACAGGCATACACTGAGGCTGTCCTGGGGAAAACAGGACATGGGGTCATTCCTGGTATGTCATACTGCCCTTCCCTTCATTTTTATGTTGACATAGGATCCTGAGAAGGTCAACCAGGGAATATATCTTGAATCACAGTACTCAGATCCATCCTCTTAGCTTCTCTGGGGTGCTCCTGGTGGAAATTGGGTGAATAAAGTAGTGGGTTGGAGCTCCGGAGCTAGACTGCCTGTATTAGAATTTATCAGCTATGTCACAGTATCTCTGTGGGCCTCAATTTCTTTAGCTGTAAATGAAAATAATACCTACCTCATGAGGTTATTGTTAGTGAATACCTAGAAATACGTGGAACCAGTGCTTGTTACACAGTAAACCTTCAAATAAATATTGGCTGTTTCTGTGACTACACTTGGTACACGAGGTACCAAGTTCATTGAGTTACTCACATAGCCTCCAAGCCGCACATATCATTTCCTTTTTTAAAAAATATGTTGTTGTAGATTTTTTTCAGAAAGAGAGGAAGGGAGAGAGAGAAAGAAACATTAATGTGTGAGAGAAACAATGATTGGCTGCCTCCTGCATGCCTCCTACTGGGGCAAGCCTGAAACCTGGGCATGTGCCTTGACCAGAATCAAACCGGGTCCTCTCAGTCCATGGGACAATGCTCAATCCACTGAGCCACACCAGCAGGGTCACATATAATTTCTTTATGTGATGTACTAGGACTAAAACCCAGGTCTCCTGATAGCTTAGTTAAATTTTTTGATACCAGGATTCCACTTATATATTTAATTCTCTGCCCTGAATATCCAACATCTTTAGGAGTAAAGAAGGCAGTTGCATTCAGTTTGAAGAAGGAGCAGTTTATAATCCCAATATAGTCTGGTCCTCTCTCCTTTCAGAAGTAAGTGATGATGGAAAAAAAACCAACAAGGTTAAATTTATATGACTCTCAGAGTGATGAATTAAATATTTCTTCGATACCTTCTCTGCTTTAGTTATTTGGAGTTATAAAATCAGGCCAATTTCCTCAAGAGTCTATGAAATGATTTAAATATAGTTATGCGTACTCTGCACAGTATACTTCTACTTATGTAGACTATTATGCTGATGCAAGGTATAGAAACAGATCGGTTCTGGTCATGGTAGGAGACACATAGACAGTTTTAGATTCTTGTTATCTTTCTCCATCCACCTATTTATACTCTTTTTCTGACTTGTGCCTTTTTTTCTCCTAATTTCCCCAGAAGTGTATATTTTCCTTTCATGGTCTTCCTGTTCTTCTCTTGGTCCAAGCTTTGCTCTATTCTCACCTCCATGTTCACTCAGGGAGGTGATAGCTCTTACCTAGTTACCCAGCACTTATTTCTGGCTCATTCTATATCATCACTTTGTATTATAATTCTTGTTTAATAATCAGTTTCTTTCCACTAGTCTCTAGGTTTGTGAAGGCAGAAATAATTTCTGTCTTGTGTATCATTGCATTTATAGATCCTAGTGGAGAGTCTGGCACATCGTAGGCGCTCAGTAAATATTTATGAATAATGCAGAAATGCATTCTTGGCCTGTTTCATTGACTCTGAATAGTAAATCTATATTTGCCTCAGCTTACCATACTCAGGACAAGTGCTTCCGATTTTAGTCCTAAATCTAGGCTGGGATTATTAAGAGTTTATTGTAGAGGTAATGAAAATGTCTTTGGCAGCCTCTGTGTAATGCAAACAATGAGGTTTATAGAGCTTTTTCTTATAAGGCTCATCAGTATGGTTTGCTGGCCTCACACTGTCATGTAATTCGATAATGATTTTTCTGTAGGAAGAACAATGAGATTTAGTTTAGGTATATATTTCTCTGATGATCTGGGTTGGTTAGGAGTAAACCTTTTAATATCTGGGAGAGTGGGTAGTCAGGAAATCCTGTAAGTTATCTTCTCTAAATGTCACTTCTGTTCTCTGACATTTGACTAATGTTTGTGGAAATAAACTCATGCCTAGTACCAAGAACATATCTAGTCTATATTAGCTGAATATAGATATTTGCCTTATCTCAGTTAACCTTTCCAAGAAATCTATGCAGTAGACATTTTTTCCTCAACTTTGAAATGGAGGAAAAGTAAGAAGATAGCTCAAAGTCATACAATGAGTTAGTTGTCTAGATAAAATTCAAACCCTGGCTTGTAACTTCCAAGTCTTTATTCTTTTCATCAATCTTCTTCCCTCCGATCTTTTAAGGGGCCTTAAGATATGTCTTCTTTTTCCATTACCACAACCTATTAGTATCTCTAGGTATTTAATATAATAGAAACAGATGAATTACTCACTGGTACAGAGATTCAGGCTATGGGAACCTCTTTTTTTTTTCTCAAGAAGACAACAACTTTGACCATAGCAAGAGTAATATCGATGTTACTCTATACCAGGCACTATTATAAGTACTATGCATTCCTTATATCATTAAAATTCTATGAGGTGGGTACACTGTGAGAGACCTTTTGTGGATGTGGAAGTAGAGGCCCAGAGTAATTAAGTTCCTTGCTCAAAGTCATATAAATTTCCTGGATGTAAAAGAGTTCATAACATGCAAAGGTAGATATGAGAAAATCAAATACTATGATCTGAATGATCTCCCTGCTCCCAGCCTCTCAGATGAGCTTTCTGTCAAATTCAGTCCAAAGACAAAAAGTCTCAATGATAAAGTGCATCTTCAGGTGTGTATGTGTGTGTGTGTGTGTGTGTGTTTTAAATTAGTAAAATTGACATGGGCCGTCTAGTCAGCACAGAGCCATGAGCCCAAGTTAGTCTGGGACAGGTTCTTGATTGTATAACTTAATGAATTGTAGGTGATTCTCCCTGAATATATGTGAAATTAGTGGACTCAGTGGTTCTGTATTGTATACCAGACCATTTTATGACAGGTGTTAGTTACCCCAAAGCTAACCCAGGAAATGAACAAGGTGCACTTGGGAGAGGCAAGGTTGTAATTCTACCGGAGTGCCTGCAGTGTACCATACTTCAAAATCCAGCAATATTCATCAGAGCATAGTCTCATCCTGTGCATATCTTTGCAGGAAATGCAAAAGTGATCTGACATGTAGAAAAATCTGTATTTACAATAATAAAGTCTTCAACTGTGAATTTATAAAGACTCCAGTGCCTATAGTACATTTGGTATTTTTTTATCTATTAAATCTCTTAACACTCCTACACAGCAGATAGTATTGATACTTTAAATATGGAATCCTGAGGCTCAGGGAGGATGTGAAATTTGCCCAAGGACACATAGCTAGTGAGTAGTGGGACTGGAATTTGTGTCCAGTTCTGTGTGATACTAAGTCCTCCTCATGTTGCTTTACTTCATCCACACTGACTTTCAAATATAACTTGATATAATTATGGCATAGTGACAAAAATGTGAAAATTTCAGCACAGTGACTTCTGATTTATCA